TGCCTCAGGGCTTTTCATACATGCCCTCCTGCTCTCAATGACCCCAACAAACCCTCCTCGCCCTCTGGACCGCAAAAAAAAGTAGGTAGGATATTGAAACTACTGCAGATAGAGAAAGTGACATGCTGAAAGCGGAGATTGGCTGCTTAGAGGGAGGCGAGATTACGAGATTGTCTGGCTCTGTGTGGGAGAGTCCTGGAAAAACAGAGAGGGGCAAGATTAGGCCCCTCCCAAGAATTCCTCCATGGGCACGGTACCAGCACAGGAAGGAACACAAGCACAAGAGATGCAGGGTCATAAACTTAACTGCTTTAAAGTAGGATAGTTTGATATAACAAGAGGAAGAGGAGATATAATGGAACGAACAGTGACTGACCTAAACTAGCATAAAAGGAATAGGCTAGTTCACTCAAAAAAATTAAAATTAGCTTATAATTTACTCACCTTCAGGCCATCCAAGATGTAAATGAGTTTGTTTGTTCATCTGAACAAATTTGGAGAAATGTAGCATTACATCACTTGCTCACCAATAGATCCTCTGCAGTGAATGGGTGCCGTCAGAATGAGATTCCAAACAGCTGATAAAAACATCACAATAATCCACACGACTCCAGTCCATCAATTAACATCTTGTGAAGTGAAAAGCTGCGTGTTTGTAAGAAACAAAAATCATTAAGGCGTTTTTAACTTCAAACCATTGCTTCCGGTTAAAATATGTTGTCTATCCATAATATTGCTTTCTCAGTAAAAGTCATCTTGTCTGATTCAGGAGAGAAATAAGCACTGTTTACCAGTGAAAACAGTTTTAAACAAATATGTCAGTTGACTTTTATGTGAGAGAACAACAGTGAATGGACTTTTTCACTAGAGGAAGTGTTATTATGGATGACAGAAGCAACGTAATGATGGATTAGTTTCTTATAAATATGCAACTTTTTGCTTCACAAGATGTTAATTGATGGACTGGAGTTATGTGGCACCCATTCACTGCAGAGGATCCACTGGTAAGCAAGTGATGTAATGCTAAATTTATCCAATTCAGTTCCGAAGAAGAAACAAACTCATCTACATCTTGGATGACCTATGGGTGAATTTTTATTTGGTGAACTAATCTATTAAAGTAATTAAAAATTTGAGACCTGAAAAAAATGCAAATGAAGATGGCCGCCTTAGAGTCAACGTGAAACCTTTTTTCACAACTCATTTGACTTTGCTGATGTGACATATTTCCAAGTGAAACAGGATATTTCGTATTTGGCTTTTAAAAATGTAAGATGGGAAATGTGAATTAATTAGTTTAGCGCTTCACGATTAGGGGAAAAAGTTTAGATTAGCTAATTATATCTTATCTCGCACTTTATGAGTGTCAAGTGTTGCACTGAAATTTGTTCTCAGCAGCCTCTGTGAACAGTAAAGCCTGCCTATTGATTTGACTGGTCATCTCAAACATTTTGACATAGATGAGCACTATGAGACACGGTTCGAGTCTCGATACAGGCAGGGATTAGGCGGGGGGAGTGAATGGCCAGCGCTCTCTTCCACCCTCAATACCACGACTGAGGTGAGACCCTTGAGCAAGGCACCAAACCCCCAACTGCTCCCCGGGCACTAATATTAAACCATCAAGCTTTCATTTGGATGGGGAAAAAAAACCCTGAATGTTACATTCAAAAATGGAGGCAAACCTGAATGAAAGTTTGCTTTAAAAAAAAAAAGTGTAAACAAAAGAAAGCAAATTACTATATTTTGATTGAACGATTTTATTTGGAAAAACATGCACCAGTGAACAAACTAAATGGGGCCAATTTTACTTTCATATGACTATCTTGAACTTTGCCTGATACGAAACGTTCTGCGGGATGTTTACAGTGCTTCAGACTGATTTGCAGATGACTTATTCTGGCAACACTCACTTAACATGTTATTTCATCTGTGTGAATTCAGAGGCTGGTCGGATGTCCCTCTGCTAGACTCCGACCACAACAAAGGTTCCCTGCTAAGATTTCCTCCATATAAAACTCAAGTTAAGTAGACACTAGTCTTCTAACACCCAGCCACAAGGCAAACCATGCTCATGTCATTACAGAGCACCACACTAACATCCTCTCATTTAAAACAGACTGAACTCACACCACAGAAGGCCTATTAATCGAAACACAGCATTCCAAGGGCAGAAAAGAGACGGGATATTATGGGATCAGACTTCCTCCAGGCAAACTAGCTGATAAGGACTGCTCACAATAGCATTTCCTTCTGAGACCTGATCAGTTTGCACTGTTTGAAGTGTTATTTTTAGATGTGAACATTCATTTTAGGCTTTATAGTTAAACTTTAGCACTCAGGTGTTTTTGACATGTGACGACCCCGGGCTGGACTCCGCTTCGTCCACAGTGAAATTTGATGTATTCCCTCAGCGACCAGCACAGATCTAGGCTTGACGAAGCGGATATCGTCCTCTTTTGGAAGACCAAACAAAGTAGTTTCGCTTTCACAACGAAGCACACAGCGTCTTCAGGACATGGCTGCAGCGTCAACAATACTACAGTGAGAATAAAAGTTACGCCTTCTTTCTTTGCGTGAACATTTGGGCGGCGTTATGCAAATCTTCCCACATAGTGAGGTAGATATGTGGGGGCGTGTTAGAACGAGCCGTTTTAGGTAGGTGTGGCTGACTCTGAACTTTTATAAAGAATATCTCTTTGGATTTGAGACTTTAGTCTTTGCAACTTTACAGATCTTCTTTATGCACCAAGAGCTTGTAACACTCCAAAGAGAAAGGAAAAATTGAAATCGCATCATATGACCCCTTTAAATTAAAAACCTAATTGATAAAATCAATTCTAAAAACAGGAAGACTCACGTTTGAGTCTGACCCAGTGATAGGTCCTAAAGGAGTTCAAGAGCGCATGCGTCACACGAGTCTCGCTAATCCATGTCACTGTCTTAGTTGTAAACAGGAGGACTGAATATTGCACACTTGAGTCAAACATGATGCTGCAGATTGCTGACATTGCTATCAAACCAGAAATTAAGCGAATTTTAGTTGCCGCCACAATGTCTACCTCAAGAAATCTCGGCAAGAACGAGGTCATGCTGTTTTCAAACACTATGAAACCCGGCAGTAGGGCAGTCGGCTGCAGCTTCATTCATGTGACCTACTTTTCCTGATGGCTGTGTCTGGATGGGGAGGGGAAAGACCCCCAGAGAAGTGAGAAGATCTGTGCATGAACAATGAGAATGTATTTCTCTATACTTCACAAGTTACGCACTTTCAGCATCAAGCACCCAGATACTGACTGCATAATTCAATGCATGTGCACTTTAAAAAGGTCACAATAAACAAGATATTATTTATTCTTCTCTAAAAGACTGAAGACACATGGAAATACACCAAGAATCAGAATGCATGACCATTAAACTCCGTCCACTGGTTTTAGTGTTGCATCTCTGAGCTTTTAGATCTGCTCGATACATGGTCATCAGTTTGGAAACACAAGACTAAGTCACAAAGGATCCTTCTGGTTATGAAACAGTCTTGTATTAATGAGTTAAACCTTTGATAATGCACATTAATGTCATATTATGAAAAATGTCAGCATGTAATTGAACTCTTCATGGCACTTTTGAAAACCACTATCAATATTAACCTATGCTGAGAGAGTACCAGGTAGAACTTTGCTCCCGTCCTGAATCGATGACACTAGACTGTGGACTGATAAAATAAAGGTGTGATATGGTTAAAGGTTCACTGAACTGAAAGCTGAATTTAACAGGCATTCAATTATTGTACTGTAAACATGACAGCTTTTACGGTGCAAATAAAAAATCATTTTATGGTTTCGAAAACACACATTAGTAGGTGCTTCAGGCACCAAACGAAGTGCAGATCTTAAGGAAATTTGATGGCAAAAATTGTGCACCCTATCAGGTAAGCACTATGGGATCAGCTCTGATTTTTGAACTCAAAGTGAGAAAACACTTCCAATAGCTTCACATTTTGCTAATACATTAAATTAAAAACAAATAATGGTCTTTGTCTACCTACTTCGTTCCATAGTTTGTTTGAGTGCAAGAGGTTTTTTAAAGATATGGCAAACTGTTTAACATGTATTCCTTTGATAATTTTGTGTTGCTAATATTTAGTTTAAAATACAAAATTATAAGTAACATTCCACTAGTGACTAGTAACTTTTTCAATTTCATCAGTATTTATTAGATACCATTACACTAAAAAAAATGGTGTAGGATTTACTTTAAAACCATTTTTACTCAGAAATTGCTACTTAATTTCACAAATAATTACAAAGAAATGCCAAGTAACACACTGAATTAAACCTAAAATTTTGAAGCAAAAAGAATATATATTTTTCCCATTTTCCTGTAAAACATAATCCAATGGGTTTTATTTACAAATTTTGAAAAATCTTTTTGTTACAGTACGTATTCCAAAATTGACAATTATTTAGCTTACTAGTATATTAGTAGTCACTCACTAGTAAAAACTCCTATACTAGTCGTTATTCAGTTTATACTCGTAACAAATGGCAAATTTTCTAACTGAATTCAATCAAGGTATGCGAGTGAGATTTCAATTATTCACTTTCAACAGGTTTGTATTCCAATTGTTTCTGATACCTATTTCCTAGTAGTATAGGCTACTTCCTATTCCTAGTAGCCTGATTGGACACATAAAAAAGACGTTATAATATTTTTTTAAATGTATTAGTAAAATAGTTTAAAATAGCTAGCTTGTAAGATTTTAACTGAACTATAAACTACTAAAAATGCAGTTGTGACTACTGATATAAGAAATGTTAGCTAATTGTAAAATGTTAACTTTACCACAAGTAGCAAAGGAATAAGTACTAGGCTAGTATCTAACGACTAGGCTAGTCACTGTTGAAATAATAGCCTAAAACGGGGCTTGCCATACAATGAGCTCGTTGGCGATGCACTGGCTACATGAAAAAACTTGCCCTGTGGTGTTTACAGTTCCTTACCTGACTACGCTCGAAGTTTTCCTTTTCAGCTTCTAAACTGTTGGCACCGCCAGTGCGACGGCTGAGCACTTTGGGAATCGGGTTGGGGACTTGCTGCATTGAACTCTTGACGCGGTCCATTCTGGAAAGAAAATCCAAACTGCGCGAGCGACGGAGAGTTCTCAAATCAACATAAATAGAGTGTAGTAAAAAGAGATTGACCCTGGCGATGAGCACGAAAATTCCAAGCCCTCGTCGTTATCACAAAAGGTAATTTTCTACGTCCACCGCCCATGAATATCATTCCAGCGCTCTCCGCTGCCTGCGCCTGAGCGTGCAGAACACGCGTCTCTGCGCAGATCTGTAAGCGAAACACAGCAGCGTCAGTTCGCGCGATATACTATAGAAATCAACTCGACCCCAAAGCGGAGACTGTCAAAGGCTCCTCCCCGCGCTTAAGCGCACTGACTGGAGGAAAATCATTAGCTCCCGCCCTTCAAAACAGTTATTCTGATTCACACGGTTTACTACAGTGAATATTTCTCAGGGTTGATTTTTTTGTTACATTTTATTTAGCATTAAATAGCATACTTTTAGCAAACTCTTAACAGTAAAACAATTACAAAACTAAATAATGAATGATGAAACAACAAAATGTAACTAAAAGTTTTTTAAAAAGTATAATAAAGTACAAAAAAGTAGGCTACAATAAAATAGTCACTTCGAAAAAATTTAAGTGACAAAAAGTTACACATAAGGGTTTTTCGTGTGTGTGTGTGCAGATGTAAAAGTCTGTTTCACGTGTTATTTACTTGCATGTGATTTTTTTAGAGAACTGAAACACAGCAAGGGGCCTTGTGTTATCCTCAATAATAATAATAATAGTAATAAACCCCTTCACACTTGACCTTATCCCAAGCAAGGCCCATAACTATCTTTAACTTTGTTCCATTTTGAAGTTAAATGGATAGTTCACCCAAAAATGAAAATTTTTATCATTTACTTAGCCCCAAATTGTTCCAAACCTGTATGAGTGTCTTTCTTCTGTTGAATACAAAAGATGTTGGTAACCAATAGTTGATGGTAGCCATTGGCTTCCATAGTATTTTTTTTCCATACTGGAAGTCAATGGCTACCGGCAACTGTTTACCAACATTCTTCAAAATATCTTCTTTTGTGTTCAACAGAAGAAAGAAATTCATACTTTCATTTCATAATTCAACTTGAGGGTGAGTAAAAGATGACAAAATGTTAATTTTTGGGTGAATTATGTCTTTAAGCAGATCTTATGATCTTGCAGATGCATTTTATGTTATCACTTGTGACCTAGTAATCATAGGCAAATGCTAAACTTAGAATGATGCTATTGTACGTTATTTCTCTCTTGACTTCTGACTTACAAGATCTCACTTCTATTCTCTTTGTATTTGAAAAAGAAAGTGAAGTGGTCAAATATGGTGACCCATACTCGGAATTTGTGCTCTGCATTTAACCCATCCAAGTGCACACACACAGCAGTGAGTCGTCAACACACCCACACCCACACACCCACACACACACACACCATGAACACACACCCGGAGCAGTGGGCAGCCATATTGCTGCGGCACCCAGGGAGCTAGATATTCTTCAAAGAATAAAAATTGTGGCAACCAACCTCAGTCTAGCTAGCAGGATACCTAAAAAAAGCGTCTAAAAACGTTATCAAGAGAATTTCATTTCTTTTAATTTAGCAACATCTAGTGGTTATACAACGCTACAACACATGACACACCTATTTCTTGATATTTGTAGGCCTATTTACAACATATACCACGTATAACAGTAAATTCCAGGCATGACCTTTTTGCTAAAGTGTACAAAATAATATAGGCTAGGCCTTCTTGAGCACAATACATATCTTATCAAAAAGGGCTAATTCAGGAGAGGAAAAAATATGTAGCCTATATCCTATTAACTATAATTCTGCTGTAGTCTTTAAAAGTTAACTCGTGGGCCAAATGAATTGAAAATATGATATATACCAGCTGCATGTGCCTGTTCCTTCTTGAAACAGAAAATCACATTACTGAACCGCGTTCAGCTCAGTAGTGTTCCTTTGTGCGAATCATTCTTTTGAGTCGGTTCTTTTCAATGAATCGATCCAAAAATCATTTTTGAACGATTCGTTTATGAATCACATGGAGCCGTTCAGCACTGTTTTGCTGACAGCGGTAACCAAGGAAACGCTGTATCGCTGCTGTTCCATGAGCGCCACCTGCTGTCAGAGAATGAATCTGCGTCTCATTCACTCAGCTGTTTTTGTCTCGTTCAGATGTTTTATTTAGTATAATTTCACAAAGTTAAAGTCAGACCATTGTTTTTGCTTCAAATTTCGAAATTCTACAATCTAATTTGTTCTGCTCATGCTGCATGTAGGCTTGCCGCATCTTTGGATCTTGATTAAAATACAGTGGTTGCCTCTAACTGAATGGAAAGAGCACAGACAAAGCCTTAGTTTGTTTATATGAAGATATTTATTTTATTTGGGGTTTGTTTTAAAATTTCATATCTCAATTTCACAAAGAAATGTTTAGTATTTTGTCCAAACAATAATAAAAGGACATCTTTTCATTTATAATTTGTCTTAAATCTTATTTTGTTAAAATAAAGAAAGAAAGAAAAACTCGTATCGGGAAATCAGTATTGGGAATCATAGCATCGTGAGTTGAGTGAATCGGTACATCCATGTGATGATGATGTCAGATGACAACATTTCAGAATAACAAAATCCTTTGTGACGATGAACTCCTGATAGGGCAAACGGTCATAGGCCTACTTCTTTGCCCTACTTCACCTGAACTGACGCTATGTGTGAACTTTCATCTACATTACTCAGTTTCATTAAAACGTGAAGTTGCTGCAATAGGCTTATGTCAGATGTTTGTTTTCAGTAATTCTTCAAATCTGCACAAGTCACAAGTTTCAGGCGTGAGGCGGCTACACAAACTGTGACTGCTTTCAACTTTACAGAAGTACCAGAAAATTGTGCCTAACCGTTGAATGATCTTTGTAAACACCGCCACACAGTGAAATCTCCAACCTTTGGACTACATCAGCCATTGTGACTCCTATAAAACCCGGAACCGGCGCTCAATCCTCAATAGAGCAACTGAAGAGTCAGTTCGTCAATTTTGTAGCAACCTCAGACAGCACCACAGGTAGCAATTTTTTCTTTATTCTTATGCTGATATTTAAACCTCTCTTTTATCTGAGATGTTATTTACTGGATTACACAAGCTTTATTAACGTTTCAAGTAGAAGAAAGAAAGTAATCTCTATTTGCTATGACAGTCTGAATGACCTTTTGCAGATTTTCTGATAATTATAGTGACATGGATTCTGTGGACGTTGTGAATAACCAGGTGTGCCATTTTAATCCTCATTTATACAATTTAGCTCATTTAAAATGTAATATTAATTATTAATACTATGAAAATATTTCTAAATACATATATATGTTTGTTGGTTAGAATGTCAATTAATCTGTTCATTCCTGTCTGTTCCTTTCTAGAATGTGGTTGAACGGATAGTTCACCTTCCCTTGGTTATTTCCACCTATGACTTGGTGTCAAATGTGTACTGCAACACCAAGAACACCCATCCATACTTGAAGTCTGTGTGTGAGGTGGCTGAGAATGATGTGCAATCCATAACCTCAGCTGCTTTTCACAGTGCTTTACTAATCATCGGCAAGCTAGAGCCTCAGAGTAAGCCGACTGTTGTTTGCAGTTTGAAATCAGGGCTGATTACAGTGAGAATATGTATTTACCAAAAGATCCTACACAAGCCGTCTGATCAGGTATTGCGTAAACACCACTTTTATATTGTCTAAATGTTAAAGTTGGCATGAAATGTAAGTTGCAATCATATTTTCTTCCCTTCTTGTGACATATATCCAAATGAAATGGTTTCCCAAACAAGAACAGATGTAGGGCGGGACCTGGTTTTGACCATTGGGAATTGATAGGATCATTGTCATTTGCTAGGCTATTTATTACTTTCATGTGAATGACAGTGCACATGTCATCAGAGAAGTGATGTCATTACCAGAGGGAGGGGAAGTTTATTTGATTAAAGAAAAATAAAATAATATTAAAATAATGTGATAAATCATTTATAAATAGCCTTTATAATAAACATGGCAATATTGAATACTGAAGACAGTAGTGTTGTTATTCAGCTTGAGTCAGTTCAATTTTGATTTAATCTAAAAATCAATCGCAATATATACATGAATAATGAACAAATTCAATTCAGCTATAAAAGCAGCTCTACAGAAGATAACAGTGTTATTATTCAGCTCAATGCAGTTCAAGTTCTGTGCTCATCCGATAGTGTCAGTTCTGTCAAATCCATGATATAACTGAATATTAAGTCTTTTTGACCCCAACTAAGCAAGCCAATAGGAAAGGAACCCAAACTCTTATCAGGTGACAGAAATGGATGAAAAAGAAAAAAAAAACCTTGTGAGAAACAGGCTCAGTCAGGGGAACAGTTTCTTCTGGATGAACGAACATAGTATGATATTGATCAGGAGAGTGTCACAACAGCATTAGGTGGGAAGGAATTTTGATTTCATGTTGATTTTAATGGTACCGAGTCGACAGGGGGCGCTGCAAAGTTATCATCATATTACTTCATAACCACTTGCTTTACCAACACAACATTTTTTAAAGTTAATTTAAAAGTTTCGATGCTTTACAGTGAATATAAGGAACATGAACAACTCTTAACAAGCACTTTTAAATTTGCTGAAATATTAGAGGTGCTCCATTTTTATAGCTTAAATAATTTTTTATAGCATTTTGGTTTATAACTTCCCGAAACATTAGTAAACCACAGTAGATCGCATATCTTTATTTAAATGGAAGTTGCAATCATCTTCTGTTACCTATTGTAATGTATATATCTGGTGAAAACAGCTTCTCGAACAGGAAAAATTCTAGGGTGGAACTTGTATTTGTCCATTGGGATATGAGTGGATCATATGATCGTTGTCGTTTGTGCTGCAGTCGTGACGTCAAAACCTGGAAGACTAATTCACTATGGGTTCCCTCAATATTTTCCTATGGGGTTTTTATAATGGGTTTTTTTCAATACATGAGTTAGTAGATATAATGATAATTGGACTTTTTGTTCTGCAACATATACCCTACACACTCACACCCCAAACATTCTTATGTAGTTACTTATTATAAACATACTTTTTAAAAAATAAACATAATTACTTCAAAATCAGCAGTATGTATGTGAATAATTTATGTTGTAGAGCAAAACGCCCAAGTATAGTCAATTTATACTTACCACAGACTTTGTTTTACTCATGAATTGAAAATCCCCATTATAAAAACCTATAGGAAAATCTCAAAGGGAACCCACTGCAGCACTCTATAGACAGTTTTGATGTCATGGTGCCTTTAAGCTTCAATGGTCACCACTCTCCAAACACTGCTTTAATGGTGTTCTTCTCTTTAAGATCATCGCCAGTGCCAAAGAGGCAGTGACAGGAGCCAAGGAAGCCGTCAGCGGTACTATGAACGGTGCCAAGGAGTCTGTCTCCTTCACTCTCAGTGAAGTGACGGACAGAACACGAGGAGCAGTGCAGGACAGCATGGAAAAGACCACGACGGTGGTGAGTGGTGGAGTTCAAACAGTGATGGAGAGCAGGGTGGTCAAACTGATGAGCAGCAGCATGGACACAGCACTGAGCACATCTGAGACTCTCCTGGAGCAGTACTTACCTGAAACAGAGGAGGATAGAGGTGAGGATAAGGGATGGACCATGTTTACTGGCACTGGGATATTTTGTTGATATTTAGACTGCATCTTAAAGGGATAGTTCACCCAAAAATGAAAATTCTGTCATTAATTACTCACCCTCATGTCGTTTCAAACCCGTAAGACCTTCATTCATCTTCGGAACACAAATTAAGATATGTTTGATGGAATCTGAGAGCTGACTGGCCCTGCATAGACAGCAACGCAACTGAAATGTTCCCAAGTCCAGAAACGTAGCAAGGAGATCGATAAAATAATCCATGTGACATCAGGGGTTCAACTGTAATTTTACGAAGCTACGAGAATGCTTTTTGTGCGCAAAAGAAAAAAAATGACTTTATTCAACAATTCGTCTCCTCCACATCACCCTGTAGTGCCATTTTGGAGAGTATCAGCTGGACGTAAACAGCGTATGCTAACTAACCCTTTAAAGTTGCTCAGCTTAAATTCAGCATGAAATAGTCTTTTCTTCCGTATTGTGACAAATATCCTAGTGAAACAGCTCCTCAAATGCGAAAAAATATGTATAAAATGCATATAAAATTGCTATATATATTGGAATTTTCAGAAAGTTAAAGTGAAAGTGACGTGAATAAAGTGAAATATTCATGTTATATTTTGGTTGCATTCGTGAGTTAATAAAAATGTAACTGGTTGTGCAAAATAGGCACACAATATTGATGGATCCATATTATAATATGGATCACAGGCTCCTGAATCTAATCAAATCTTAATGAAATTGCGGCATGTTTTGAGGTATTGCTGGCTAAGAAAATCAATGTCAGATCATACTGTGATAAAAGGCCCAATTTACAACCATAGTCCTTAAAAGGATAGTCAAGTTCACCCAAAAATTATTATTTGCTCACTACTCAAACTTGTATGACTTACTTTCTTCTGTGGAATAATTATTTGTGAAATTTACTAAATTAATGAGTGAAAACTGATTTAAGTAAAGCCAACATACACCAAAAATAGTTAGTTAAAACAAAAAGGATTTCATAGGCTACATTCCCACTGTTTTTGGCCAATTCAATATTTGTTTTCTTCATATTTTAGATTTTATTGTGATTATTATTAAAACAATAATTAACAGTAATTATTATTAAACAAAATAAGAACATATTTAAATTATTTTAATAACACAATTCTGTAAAATATTTTTTTAATATATTGTTTTACTGTAAAATTACAATAATAATATTTGCATCTTAATTTATTATTTATTTATTTTTATTTTGTGGGCAAATTTATTTAGTTTTGACGATTTAACAATTGCACTATATCATGCAGCCCTACTGAAAACTATCTCAGATACAGGCTGAATTTCTTGTTTTTAGAGACGTGAAGTTCTGTTGCATGGTTGAGTATTTCTCAATTTCTCATTCTCATTTTCTCTTTTGCAAATGTTTTTTTCAATCAGCAAATTGAATCACGCACATTGACCATTGCCCACAACCTCAGCCAGCAACTCCAGAGCACATGTCTGGTCTTGGTGTCCAGCCTCAAAGGTCTCCCTCAGCACATCCAGGTCCGGGTCCAGATCTACAGCAGCTTCAGTAAGACTGCCGCCCTAGGAGATTTGTCCAACAACGTCGATCCCAGCTGAGCAGAATAAGAGATTCCATGGATAACGTCATGGACTACCTGGTCAACAATACACCTCTCAATTGGCTGGTAGGTCCATTTTACCTACGTGTGGAACGCGGGACTGCAAACGGCCCCGAATGTGACAAACCAAGGACCCTTCGAATCACTGAATGAAGACCGATGAAATTTCAGAATATTAACCATTTGTTTCTATCTTACAAATATACGTACAATCACACATTCCTGCCAGTAAAAACCTTCTCTACTTTGAAAGCAGTGATATTTACTGTGATAACAATCATAATAAATAATATACAGCGTTTTACTAAATCATATTTCTTAAGTGTCTTAACTTTACTATTTTAAACCTGCATATGCCTAATCATTTTAGGTATAAATAGTGCCTTTTTACACACTGCTGTCTTTTTATTGTTTGTGTACATTTCTAATAAAACAATTCACTTATAATATTCTTTTTTAATATTTCGTTTTTGATAAATCTTTATCAGAATAGTTGAAATGTTCATATAATTCAATGTACAGTAAAATAACCACTACAAAAGTATCCACACACAGGTTTCAGGTATTCACACATTAGTGAGCTTTCATAGATGCCAAGTCAGAGAACACCAGACTTATGAAATTCAGTATATGAAACACCTTGCTTCTCACAATTGTTTTACACCTAACTTGTCCCATAATATAGGCAAAGATAGTTCAGTTAAAAGTTAAATGAAAAATACAGTTTAAATCAGAACAATCTTAATTCATTTGAAGCATTAGATTAAATGTGAGGAAAAGAGTAATGAGGCTTAGAGGAGGCATACTCATTGTAGCTTTACCTAAAGCAAAAACAAAAAAGTGGGGGGAAAAAACAATAAAGATCAAAACTGTAGGAAACAGTAATTTTTTCTTTCCTTCACAGTCAAGGTATGTTTAAATACGTTTTCATTAGCTTGTCAAGTAACGTTTACATTATTTGTGTACAGCTTACCTGATGCAGACTGCATTTGCAGAGTTTCTGTTTCTTTTGTGAGCACAGGTTCTACAATTGAGAAAAAGACTGAGATTAACAATTTCGGTCAGAAATTACCAAAACATTTTATGTTTTTTATTTTTTTGCTTCATCGGAATGGGGTGACACTGTACTGTGCTATGTGAACACAGAAATCATGGACATTATTGGGATATGTTGAAGGGTCAAAAAAAAAAGTCACACTTGACTTGAAAAAGACAAATGACTGACATAGGAAATGAATGGGAAATATGAAAAAATAAAAAAACTCTGAAGAAAAGAATATTCTGGTCACAATGCAGTAAAAAAGCAATAAGGAAGGGGTTACACTCTAAAACATCAAGAGTACAAAACAGACACCCACTCAAACACACACTCACTTACATACACACACACACACACAAACAACACACTATTATACACACACAGATGCACTCATGTAGCAATAATCTACAATTGAGAAAAAGACTGAGATTAACCATTTCGGTCAGAAATTACCAAAACATTTTACGTTTTTTATTTTTTTGCTTCATCGGAATGGGGTGACACTGTACTGTGCTATGTGAACACAGAAATCATGGACATTATTGGGATATGTTGAAGGGTCAAAAAAAAAAGTCACACTTGACTTGAAAAAGACAAATGACTGACATAGGAAATGAATGGGAAATATGAAAAAATAAAAAAAACTCAAGAGAATATTCTGGTCACAATGCAGTAAAAAAGCAACAAGGAAGGGGTTACACTCTAAAACATCAAGAGTACAAAACAGACACCCACTCAAACACACACTCACTTACATACACACACACACACACAAACAACACACTATTATACACACACAGATGCACTCATGTAGCAATAACATTACGACAAAATTGATACAGAAAACTCAAATAAGAGGTTGAAATCAGATCAGACCCAGACTGATCAAGCTCCAATAAAGCATTCCTATCATTTTTGTTATATATTTGACATTATTTAATTCTGATGTTATGTGTAACAAAATGTCCTTCTCTGTGTTCAGATTTGACTGTAGTGAAATTAATGAAAAACCTGACACTTCAAAATAACATTTCAAGCTAAAAAAAAAAAAACCTTGACATAAAGTAGTCTTTGAGAATGTCTAAATATATATCCAAATCCACAACTTAATAAAAATTAGCAAAAAGTATTTATGTCTAAAAAACAACTAGAGAATTTTTAGCCTTTTAGGAATCTAGTGGTCACACCATGGTATTACATGTTTTTCTTTTTTGACTCCCACCAGATGGCACTAATCTGCCTTCTAAAATTCGATTTTAAATATTTTAACATGAAATTCTGCTTTGATTGAAAAATAAAAAATAAAAATATTCTGAATATTGTATTAATACCATAAAATTCTCAAAAAAAAATATTGAGCAAAAACCTATTACATTTTAATAAAAAAAGTTAAATTTCAAGGCTTTTGACCGCGAAGGAACCATGTGTGACCGCTAAATGTACATAATTAACATGTAAAGAATATACTCAACAAAGGTTACCTACCTGTAACTTTGACCTTCACTGTGCTGAGAGCCAAACCCTCTGAGTCAAGAACTGTGTATGTTCCGGCGCTGCTGGCCGTAACCCTCCTGAGAATCAACTTGTTGTCTCTCTTTTTCAGATAACCTTTCTTGTTTATGACTCCATCTTTCTCCCACAGGACTGTCCAGTCGGTTTCATTACTGTTTTGAAAAATCACTTGCTCGGCTTGATGAGTGTACAGATCCAGGATCAGGTCTGCCCCAATCTCCACAGATTTGATGGCCTTGTGATCTACCATGGGAAGAGGAACAAAGCATCAATTTAGAGTTAATCATTATAGTTAACTAAAAGCGAGTTATTATATAGAGTTATTATAGTTAACTAAAACTAAAATCGCAAAAAAGCGTTTTCGTTACTTGAAATAAAATAAACATTAACTTAAAATAAAATATTTTAACTTTTTATTCACTTTTTATTTTATTTCAGCAAGTTGCCAAGGCAACATTTCTCATATATTTAACTTATTGCACTTAAAAAAATTACATTAAAAATGAATAAAAAATAAAAAAGGACAGAAACACACAACAATATTACTAAAACTTTAACTAAAATTAAAATGAAAACAAAAAAGAAAAAGAAAAACTAATTCTAAATATTAAATATAGCTGCAAGCAGCAATCACGGGGCCAAGCACTCCAGAAGCAAATTGAGGAGCTAAGCATGGCATGGAGCATCAGACCAAATGCAACAATGAGTAATAAAAGCAATTTTAGGATGATTGTAATTGAAATGGCTGAAAAATCATAAATACAACCACTAGTAATATGATTAAATGGCTTATCACTTTTGACCAACAGGTGGCGCTGTAATCAAATCATTTTGGTGTGTTCTGTGTGAGGTGACAATGGCACACACAAAGTTTGTTGTCATAATGTCAAAGCTTTAAAGAGATATAGCCTCAGAGTCATTTTGGCACAGTGCCTAAAATTTGTAGCAGCGCTGTACGAAAACGGTTTCGTCTATCGACACGAAATCCATAACATTTTGTCAGCACAGTCTGAAGATGATTTGACTCGATTTTGGTGAAAATCGGACCAAGGCTTGAGGAGGAGTTCGAAAAAGTAGGTTTACAGCATAAATCAAAATGGCCGACAGGCAGTTCAGATTTGCTAAGGGAAAATTGGTATGTCTGTTGTCGGCATAAACCAAGGAATATTTTGAGAGCAGTTTCATTGCAATAGGCAAATGCAATCAAAAGTTATTAGCATTTTTGGAAATTTCATAATTAATAATAAATCAATGGTTTATTACTCTTGACCAATAGGTGGCGCTGTTACCAAATTGATGTGGCGTGGTCACATTTCCCCAGGACGTTCGGCCAAATATGGCAAAATTAGTATCAATGTTTTCAGAAAGACCCAAGGAATATTTTGAGTCCAGTTTCATTACAAAAGGGTAATTTAATCAAAAGTTATTAGCATTTTTGGAAATTTCATTATTAGTGGTTAATGAATGGTTTATCACTCTTGACCAATAGGTGGCGCTGTGACCAAATTGATGTGGCATGGTCAGTGTGAGGTGACAATGGCACACACAAAGTTTGTTGTCATTATGTCAAAGCTTTGAAGCGATATAGCCTTAAAGTAATTTTGGCATCATGCCTAAAATTTGTAGCAGCACTGTACGAAACCGGTTTCGTCTATCGACACGAAATCCATAACATTTTGTCAGCACAGTCTGAAGATGATTTGACTCGATTTTGGTGAAAATCGGACCAAGGCTTGAGGAGGAGTTCGAAAAAGTAGGTTTACAGCATAAATCAAAATGGCCGACAGGCAGTTCAG